AGCACCACTCTTCCACCTCCTGGATCCATCCACCACTGATTGGTTTTCAGAATGTTTCATTCAGTAAACTGAAAATGTATTACTGTAATTTGATTATTATTTTTATTCATATTATCTTGTTCATGGAAGGACTATCTAGATCTTATTGCTACCAGTGTACAGTCAACTTTCTTATATATCAATTTTCTTATAGTGTATGTTTTTGATCATGTGCTAAGGCATGATGTTAGCATGCACGAAGATGAAATAGTGTGTAATATTCCATCTATATCATTCTTTGACAGCATTATAGTCAAGTCTTCAAATACATCACCACACTGGAAAGTCTTATCTTCACAAGCGATATCGATTCCAACATCTTGGAAGTCTTTAATCAATTCCGAGCTATGACATCATAGATTGCCTGAGAAATCTTCATAGTGTAACTGCCTCAAGTATACTGTCCTCACAGTGAAGCTGAGTGTTGCAGCCATTGTGTCCGTGGCACTGCCTCCTCATTGGTACTGCTCTCCGTGTTCATATCCTTGACATTTGAAAACTTGGAACTTACTCATAGAGATATTACAGAAATACGAAAGTGTTAACTCTAATGCATTCAACTCTCAGAACCACAACACTTGGCATAATATCTGTTCCAAATGTTTGACCACAAAGTTCTAAAAAGAATGACTAAAGTGTTAATTTGAATTACTGAGTAATACAAGAATACAGTATATCATGGTGTATACCTGTGAAAGGAATACACTTTGAGATTTTATCAAATAATGTTTTTTTTTTTTTATGGGTCTGACATACGAAATATATGATAATGTATATATGGCATGTCTTGAAATTACCATTATCTGTAACAAACTTATAATTGCTAAATACTTGATGTACAATATAAAGCTGTTCATCAGACTTGACAACAATGTTTGATCAGTTAATATCTAATGAAGTACAACATTGTCAGCAGCTTAAGCTGTCATAAATTGTTTGATCAAATTTTTTTTTTGAGTTTGACAAACAAGATGTGATGTGTTTACCTGGCTGTAGTATTGTGTCTAATCTAATTACCATTATCATTGATAAGAATGTCATGCTTAATTGATGTCCATGAAGATTAAAACAAGCTAATTATTTTTACATTTTTGATACAAGCAATATGAGCATTGAGTTAACTGAATTGCCCTCAAGTCTAGTTGAAGCCTGTTTTCCATAAAATAGCTGTAGTGTCGCTACAGGGTATTCACTGCAGTTGTTATACTGTGTACAGTAGCTGTCCCTGGTGCCAACAGGAATCCTGTTCCCTGAATTGACCAACCAGTCATTATCGTACAAAAGCTGTTAGTGGTAACATGTAGAAATTTTTATGAAAACCAGGCTTAATATATCTTGTCATTTTTAGATGAAAATTTGTTATTAATGTTGTAAATAATATTATTGTCATTGTCAAGTAGGCTTAGCAAATTTGACCACAAAATTGTATCTAAAATTTTTAGATTTGTCTCTATGAACCTAAGGTTTAGTTGCATATTTCCTGTTGTGACACAGAATGTAACAGGATTTTCCCTTTTTTATTTAGTGTTTTATTCTTAATTTTGATATTTTAATACAATAATATGCTATTTTTACAAACATGTTTTTTTATTTTTATTGCAAGATAATAAACAAAGTCCCTCACCATTTTAAATGCACATCAAAAGAACAATTCAAAATACCGGTAGTTGAATATGTTTTTTTTTAACCTGGATAATCCATATAATTTAAACGTTTACTCATTTGATGTTTCAGTTTCCCAGAAAACCAATATACAAATTGAGTTGATAAATAATGTGAGTTATCAATAAGGTAGCTAATAATTATGTGACGAATATTGATTTGCCCATATATGGGTGTGATAATGTGTCCATATGTGCAAATCAGATATTTGTCACAGAAAATAATTTGAACAGAGAATTTAGCTTGGTGGTTAGGGTGCTTACCTTTGGATCCAGAGTGCTGGGTTCAAATCCTGTTAAAGTCAATTTATGTTTCCTTGATATGAAAACTCCGCCCTACACCCCAGTCCAGAGTTATCAAATTTTATTTGAAAAAAACATGACACGCCTAAATATGGTCATGTTGACATCACATCATGACCATGTATAGGCATACCATGACTATATATAGGGATTTTTTGTCAAAAAAATGTGATAATCTGAATAGAGCTTTAGCCTAGAGTATCGTATTTGAGAGATTAATGAATTTTTATCAATTCCTAAAAAACTAGTTTATTTCCACTTGAATATTTACTTCAAAGGCCATTTTATTGATTTTTATGCTTTGAATTGTAAATTTGTAGACGGTCTTATAGGGTATTTCTTTTTTTATTTTTAAATTGAAAGTTACAATTTAAGCAATTGAAAAAAAATACAATTCAAATTCGTAAACAGTGATTTAGGTTGGAAGAATGTCTGCTTTGTTGTAAATTTAATTTTTTTGTAAGAAATAAATAAAACTGATTGATTATGTCTTTCTGTTAATTGCCTCAAATGTTTGTGATTTAGTACAGTGGCATTTATGTGTTAATAAAACGAAAGGTATGGAGAGACATCAGTAGTAAGGTAGTAGTAAATATCAAGAATTGGGGCAGACTGAAATAGTGGACAGAATAGTAATGATAACTGAGATAGTTGGTGAAGATGAGGCAAGACTTTTTTTATACCTTGTTTTGCGAAACTATTTTTTTGATCTATATATGTGGGGGTGTGTGTGTGGGTGCGTGTGTTTTTCTATTTTACAGAGGACCTCAACTTGGCCACACACTTATGATCTGATGACCTTTTGCCTTAAAGAGGACCAAAAATCCGGACCAGAGCACTAGTGCTGCATTGTGCTGGATTTGCGTGTACAACGTGTTTCCATGGTTTCTGTAAATGCCCTCGGGTGGCAGGAAAATTTGAAAATATCTAACGTTACACGCTTTTATTTAAGTGGCGTTGCATAAATAAATAGCGCCCTCTATGCATAAAACGTTGAGCACGTATGTATCAATTCAATTCAATGAATGAAGTGATGGGTGCACATATATCCTGATGAACATTAGTAGAATGGAGACAAGAAATAATAACATAGGCAGTTGACGTTTTTCCAGAATATATAAAAATATTATTTAATAACGAATATTTCGGGAGCGCCTGCTCTCTTCTTCGGCGTAATATGTATATGTATATTATGTATGTACAGTATATATATATGTATATATATATATATATATATATGTATATATTTATATATATATATATACACATATACATATATATATATATACATGTACATATACACATATAGGAGCTTAGAAGTATCCATAGGGGGAAACTAAAACAATAAAGAGGGTTAAAACAGTACCTTAAGGCAAAAGTAGTGTCGCTAAGGGGAAACTAAAGCGACGTTAAGGCGAAATCATAGACAAAAGAGTTTCCCCCTATGAGCCGAATAAATGTAGTATATATATACATATGTATATATATATATAATATATATATACTGTATATATATATATATATACTGTATGTATATATATATATACATACATATATATATACACATATATATACATATATATACACCTTTATATATATACATATACACATATATATATATATACATATACACACATATATATACATATACATATATATATACATATACATATATACATATATGCACATGTATATATATACATTTATATACATATATATACATATATACATACATGCATACATACATACACATATACATACATATATACATACATACTGTATAAATACATGTATGTACATATATACATACATACATACATATTATACATACATACATTATATGCATACATATATATATACACATACATGTATACATACATACATATATATACACACACATATATATACATATATATAAATATATATATACATATATATACACACATATATATATATACATATATATACTATACATACATATATATACTATAATAATTTAATTTTAAATAAATGGAGGAGGTACATGGAACACGCTGTGAAAATCTAAGCAAAATATCTCATTACTGGGCTATCCATTGACTGGTTATACCATCGTTGGAATGAAATGTAATCCATTGAAAATGAAAGGCACTTTTAATCATGCCTCATCAGTCAATAACGATCTTCATCATTACCATATGGACAACGGCGTCTACAAGTCTAGATAACGATGACAGTTGCCATCCCATGGTAAATCGCGAAAAAAGAAATCCACTCCGCCCCCATTAAATACGACTGTCGGCCTACATTTTATGTAATTAACATCTGATCTAATATATTACGTACCTAGGCCTATGTGGTTGGCTACGGATAGCTAAGTGTAGAGTACGA